AATACATTGGATCGGTCCAGAAACCTGGAACAACTCTAAGTGAGCGTAGGGGGCTTCCGGGTTACAGGTAGATTTAAAAATTTTCTGGTTGACAATTGGTTGAGTTTATCTAAAGACCTGGGATCAACAGAAAGGAAATGTCTGGTTAAAATAAAGAATTGTGGAGACCAACGTTCTTATTGTGCAGAGGAAGGCTTCCTCCAGGTGGCAGGCTTCAGAGAGAATAGATTACAAATGTTTCTTATCAGACTTAAGGTCTGTGTCAATGTGAATGCCAAGAGGTATAATGAGGCATGTCCAAACTCCACGTCCCGCTATGGCCCTAACCAGTCTCTCAGGTTAAATTTTAAGAGTACCCTGGCCTAGGAGGAAGTCCATTCAGATGTTTGGGATGTGATGCTTAGAATGTTATTTTTGGTTTACATTCTCCTCCTTCTCTACAAGATTTGCCACAGGCAACCTCAATGGCTAGCAAATTTTTATTTTCTCTCATAGCGTTGTTGGGGTGGCAGGGCTGTCCTCCCTGGCTCCATCCTGTCCCTTGGTGAGAGTCCCTATGGCCGAGGGCCTTAAGAGTCAAAAGACTTACAGCCAGCTAGGCATGGTGGCTCACACCTCTAATCCCAGCACTTTGGGAGGCCGAGGAGGGTGGATCATGAGGTCAGGAGTTCAAGACCAGCCTGGGCAACATGGTGAAACTCCGTCTCTACTAAAAATAACAAAAAAATTAGCTGGGTGTGGGGGCGGCTGCCTGTAATACCAGGTACTCAGGAGGCTGAGACACAATAGCTTGAACCTGGGATGCGGAGGTTGCAGTGAGCTTAGATTGTGCCACTGCATTCTAGCCTGGGAGACAGAGCAAGACTCTGTCTCATAAAAAAAAAAAAAAAAAAAAAAAAAAAGACTTGCAGCCAATTAATTGTTGTAGGCCAGATAGGATGGACATGGACAGGTATTCATTATCTCTTAAAGTTATTATTTTAAGTAAAAGCCAACACACAAAACTAAAGGCAAGTTTACAAAACTGACTGTAACTTTTATGTGTTGACCTACTTTAAGCTTGGATTTAGTTACAGACTTGTAGAATTAGCTATACAAAACACTAGCATTGCTGTGAAAAAAAAATTTTTTTAACATATTTAACTTCTCAACTCATAACTGGGAGTATTATATCCAGGGAGCTTTATCACAAGGTATCTTTATTTTGTCAGCAAATATTTTCTTTTCATTCTACAGAAGCAAAAAATACTTTATGGTTGGGGTGAATGCAAAAGTGACACATAATAGCTTAGAAGGCAAAGTCCCTTGTTTTACCAGCTCTTTAGGCATCTTTGTATCTATCCTTGGAGAGTCTGACCTTGATCTAATTTTATTCCTCAAAACCAGCCCTTATTATCTCTCATACCCACCTCTTCCCGACAATACCTGGGCCTGGGGGATGGTACTTGTATAGTTTTAGCAACAGGGCATTTGCAGTGAAAAACAGATCAGACCCAGTGGGATGCAAAATGAGAGAGATTTGCATCTTTGTTCTTCAGAATATCATGATTTGGGTTTCCTTAAAAGTAAAACAAGGAGAGATAATAGCATTAATGTTTTGACCACCAAAGAGTATTTGTGTGTTTGAACAGAAAAAGGAACCTATTCCATTAGGGCACCAACTAAAGATATGAAGAATAATTATAATCTAGTACTCTGTAGAGGATTATTGTAGCCAAGAAATAATTCATCATTCAATCTGCACTCAAAAAAAAGAAACGTTAAGGCTGAAATCTAGTATCAAAGGCTACACTTTTCTTTTGAAACAATTTCTTTTTCTCTAGCCCTCCTTTTATTTTTTTTCCTTTTTTTTTAAATTTATTCCTCCTTTTCTATTTAAAAGAAATTAGGTTGGGCACGGGGGCTCACTCCTATAATCCCAACATTTTGGGAGGCTGAGGCTGGCAGATCATGAGATCAGAAGTTCGAGACCAGCCTGACCTACATGGTGAAACCCATCTCTACTAAAAATACAAAAATTAGCCGGGCATGGTGGCACGCGCCTGTAATCCCAGCTACTTAGGAGGCTAAGACAGGAGAATTGCTTGAACCCAAGAGGCAGAGGTTGCAGTGACCCGCACTCCAGCCTTGGCAACAGAGCGAGACTCCATCCTCCCCCCTGCCCCCGCCAAAAAAGAGAGAAATTATAGTAAGATCAATTTGTGTGCAAAATAAGTTTTAGGCTTATTATACTTGGCCTGATTACTTGCATAAAATGCAAAAAGAATTGATTGACCATATAAGCTCCTTTTAAGTTGGCTTTGCTGGAACTTTACCTAAAATATGCTATTTTAGTTAAAGTCTTGGTAAAATAACCAGTATCTTCAATTGTTTTGTTTTAAAGGACTATTACGAAATTTATGCAAATAACTATATTGTCATAAAATCACAACCCGAATTTTGGAGAACTCAGAGAGAAACATAAATTTGCTTACAAAAACATGTTTCACCCAAATAACTCAAAAGGAAAAGATTTTCTTTTTGTATCTGCTTTAATCAGAGCAGCAGCTTTCAAACAAAATGTTCACCTTGGAAATGGCCATTCACAAGCCAAATAACCCATAAGAGTTGTGTATCAGGCACTGTAGAATCTAGCAGATCCTCACATAGTGAGAATTCGTCCTAGCGGAAAGAGCAGCTCTCTGCTTATAAATATCTCCTCCTTGTATCCCCAGGTAGCAAGATTCTATGTAACCCATTTTTATTTTACTCTTTGGGGCACCATTATTTTCATTCAGCATAACAGTAGCTTCAGTTAACATTCCATAGCAAGGTATTGCATGTTCCTCAAGTGGAAATTCTCTACTCCAATCTTTGTCACTGGGAAATATAGTCTTTTTGCCATAAGCCCCGATAAATGCTTCACAAAGGGCTATGAAGTGGAAAATTTGTCTCAACTAGCACTCCACCCACCCTTTAGCGTGTATTTTGTGGATTCAAGCAATCTTACTAGTTTTCATTTAGTGAGTCCAGTTAACGGTTCTCAAAGAGCAGATGCACATATCTTCAGTTTTATAGTGCTAGATAGGGGAAACATCCCCCAGTCAGATACAATACTTATTTTCATAAGACATTTTAGGTAAAGGGGTTACAGCTACCTTACATAAAGCCTGTTTAAACACCTTACATTTCATAATTCTATTGACCTGTACGTTTTTATATTCTGGTCCCAGGAAGTTTTTTATACTATCCCCAGACCATCGTAATTTTTCTAGTGAAAAACGATTTAGGTTCCCAGCAGGGAGTTGCATCGTCAAAACCCAATGAGGGCCAGCAAACTTGATAAGGCTTCTCAGACAGTGGTATGATTCTACATAAGGGGCACCCATGTAAAAGGGCTCCTCCCTTAACCCCAAAATTTACCGTGAGCAGGGTAATAGGCATATTTGGTGGGGGGATAGCCCAGTTATCATAAAGCCAGTCCCACATGGCTTGCATATGAAGCATACTAACTGCTTCAGCTGGGATTCTCCACTTGATATTTTATAGAGAGAGCTGGGTAGTCCCTCCTCAGGGCAAACAGACCTTACAGTGCCATTTAGCTGGTCAGCTAGGCTAATCGTTCTCTGGGGAATAACCTCCTGTGCATTGGAATCACATATACACATTAGCAATGGTTCAATAGTGAGCTCTGGGTTCTGCATCAACCCAAACAAGCTCTTAAATTCTGTAGTATTTAAAATTAAGGATTTTGTCCTTAAGATGGTTATTTTTGCTGTCTATTATAGTAAACGTTTCTCAAGAAACTGATGATAGCAGTCTACAAAATGGAACAATTCCTTTACATTATACCCTCTGGTTTTACATTATACCCTCTGGTATAGTTACTTGATTTTGCCCTTCCCCTACATTGACTATCATTTTGGTAATCACAGTTCTCAGAACTAACTTTTGTTGCTCTGGCTTAATTTTTTATTTGTATCCATTTAGTTTTATCTGTATAATTTTTCCTTTATTTTAAAGCAAATCTTAAATAGATTCTTAACTAGAAAAAACCCTACATTTTCTTTAGCAAAATCTATATCCTTGAGTTTTATAAACTTCGCCAAACACATTTTCATGCCTCTACAATTTTTTTTTTTTTTTTTTTGAGACAGTTTCGCTCTTGTTACCCAGGCTGGAGTGCAATGGCGCGATCTCGGCTCACCACAACCTCTGCCTCCTGGGTTCAGGCAATTCTCCTGCCTCAGCCTCCTGAGTAGCTGGGATTACAGGCACGCGCCACCATGCCCAGCTAATTTTTTGTATTTTTAGTAGAGAGGGGTTTCACCATGTTGACCAGGATGGTCTCGATCTCTTGACCTGGTGATCCACCCTTCTCGGCCTCCCAAAGTGCTGGGATTACAGGCTTGAGCCACCATGCCTGGCCTGCCTCTACAGTTTTAACTTTTGGTAACCTAAATTCTCAATTAAAATTTAAAAAACCCTGAAATTACTTAATTTAGCATGATACGATTTTAAGATTTAAAATTACTGGAGAGAGTTTTGAGATTAAATTTACCAAATTAATCTTACCAAAGATTATCAAAGTGATGTGAATTAAAAGGCATCTTCTACCAGTCTAGTAAGTTCTTACTTTTTTTAAAAAGTTACTTGATTAGAGCTCTTTCATATAATTTGGTACTGAAGTAGCACTTTCACATGACACATATAAAGATAGATATATAACAGGCATACATAATTTAAAAAGGCAGATCCAAAATATATTTCATTTGCCTATTAAAAAAAAAAATTTCTCCTTTACTTTAGATTTTAAAAGTTACAGGAACCAATAGAAGGTGAAGGAAAGTTATCATTCAAGGCCTTATTTATCTATTTATTTATTTTTTGAATTACAAAGCTACTTTTAATACTTTGGGGTGAGCCCCACAGGAATAAAAAACTGAGAAGGGGTAACCCCCTCATTTCTGGGAGTGGCCCAGTGGGAGAGAGGCTACCTGAAAGGAAGGAAGCACAAAAGGGACCCGCTGCAGACTCAGGGCAAAGGGAATGCCATCGATGCTGGGACCTGTGAGCACTACAGGAGGAAACGCGAGCGTGGTGGGACTGGCTCCAGGCACACAGGCGAAAGGCAAGAGGGTTGGACACGAAGCCACAAAGCTACTTGGGTTCCTCCTTCTTCTCGTTTGCCTTTTTCTGCTTCTGCTGCATGATCTCCGAGTCCCTGGGGGTAGAGATGATGGGGCACTGGGAGGTACCAGAGGGCAAAAAGGACAAGACACAGGGGGATGAAGGGCACAAAGGATAAGATTGACGTGGATGGGACTAAGCTCAGCGTTTGGCTGCTGCACTCCCACCCTCTGCTTGCGGGCAGCAGCAGAAAGCCCATCATCTCGGCGCTTTCCCTTAACCGAGTTGCTCTGCTTTTTCGTATTCTTCCAGTGGGCGAGCTCTCGCAGGTTATTGAGGGTCATGGCGACAGCAGCGGCTCCGACTTCCCTCTGTTATGTCCCCTCGTTCTCAATCTTTTTTTTTTAGAGACAGGGATTCACCACGTTGGCCAGGCTGGTCTCGAACTCCTGACCTCAGGTCATTAGCCCACCTCAGCCTCTCAAAGTGGTGGGATTACAAGTGCGAACCACCGCGCCCAGGGCAAGGCCTTTTAAAAAGAGGGAGTTGAGCTTCGGAGATATTAATCTGAAAAATTTCAGACAGACTATAGAATTCAAAAATTAAAAATTTTTTGCGTTAAGAATGTTAACATTTTTTAAAAATCTTGTTTTAACCAATTATTTAGTTTTGTATGAGTGTATTTTTAATATCATAGTTCAATTTAGAAAAATTTTATATTTTCTTTAAAGTCATAACATTGTTTTTTAAATGACCTTATTATGACTTACACATGTTTGGACTGTTTTATTCCAAATATTCCTATTTCTTGAAAAATTTTATTTTAGAACAAAATTTCACCATGCAAGATTCTTTCTCATATAAACTTACTTTCCTTTTTTTTTTTTTTTTTTTTTTTTAGACAAAGTTTCGCTCTTATTACCCAGGCTCAAGTGCAATGGCGCGATCTCGGCTAACCGCAACCTCCCTCCGCCTGCTGGGTTCAAGCAATTCTCCTGCCTCAACCTCCCGAGTAGCTGGGACTACAGGCGCACGCCACCACGTCCAGCTAATTTTTGCATTTTTAGTAGAGACAGGGTTTCACCATGTTGACCAGGATGGTCTAGATCTCTTGACCTCGTGATCCACCCGCCTTGGTCTCCCAAAGTGCTGAGATTATAGGTGTGAGCCACCGCGCCCGGCCAATTTACCTTCCTTTTAAACTTTCTTACCAAAACACCTGTTTATAGCTAGAACTTACTTTACAGCTCTAATTTACTGATTCCTTTTACCTTGTTTTATACTTAAGCTTTAAATAACTTTGAATTAGGCAAAAATATTTACCCTTTAATAAAAATACTTTTTTAAAGCCGGGCGCGGTAGCTCACACCTGTAATTCCAACACTTTGGGAGAACGGGACTGGCGGATCACCTGAAGTCGGGAGTTCCAGACTAGCCTGACCAACATGGAGAAACCTTGTCTCTACTAAAATTACACGAATTCCTCGGGAGTGGTGACATGTCTGTAATCCCAGCTACTTGTGAGGCTGAGACGGGAATTGAACCTGGGAGGCAGCGGTTGCAGTGAGCCGAGATTCAGCCTGGCGCCTGGAGACAGAGTGAGACTCTGCCTCAAAAAAAAAAAAAGAAAGAAAGAAAAAAAAAAGGAAAATTGCTTGAACCTGCGAAGCGGAGGTTGTAGTGAGCCAAAATTGCACCATTGCACTCCAGCCTGGGCAACAAGAGAGAAACTCCCTCTCAAAAAAAAAAAAAAAAAAATTTAAAAAATTTTTTCTGATAATTTTTAAATTGGAAGACATTTAAAATATCTATTATTTAATATAACCTTAGATTCTAAATTGTATGACAAGTTTGTTTACAAGCATTTATACCATTACATTTACCTGATTATTTAGTTTACCTAGATTATTTATGAAAACTGTGATAGTCATCATTTAAAGTGTATTCTCCATTAACCATTTTTATAACCTATGAATTTCATGTGTTTACCAAAAAAAAGGAAACTTATGGTTAAATATAGAGTTAAATATGGTTAAAAAACCTAATTGGTTTTTTTTAACCAATAACTCAGGATTCAGCTGTTATCATTAAACAACCATATTACATGTCTTATTTATCAAAAATTACACAAGTAAAGATCCTTCTATCTGGGGCTGGGTTTATAGTTTTATAACCCTTATGGCAAATCTTGACACCTTATAATATTCTGCAGAGATAAATATGAAACCATTTGATTACTATATGCAAATAAAAATGCTAACCATTTTTAAGACATTTTTAATATTATTTTACCAATAATTTTAAAGCCAGCTTATTTAAGTCATGTGAGCTTGAAAAAGCATTTGACTTAAAGTCTCTGTTTTTTCTCTTTTTTTTTTTTTTTTCTGAGACAGAGTTTCACTCTTGTTGCCCAGGCTGGAGTGCAGTGGCGTGATCTCAGCTCGCTGGAACCTCCGCCTCCTGGGTTCAAGCGATTCTCCTTCCTCAGCCTCCTGAGTAGCTGGGATTATAGGCATATTCCACTACACCCGGCGAATTTATGTAGTTTTAGTAGAGACGGGGTTTCACCATGTTGGCCAGACTGGTCTCGAAATCCTGGCCTTGTGATCTGCCAGTCTCGGCCTCCCAAGGTTCTAGGATTACAGGTGTAAGCCACCACACCCAGCTCTATTTTTTCTTGTAAAAAAATTTTCTGGGTCAGGCACTGTGGCTCACGCCTATAATCCCAGCACTTTGGGAGGCCGAGGTGAGCGGAACATCTGAGGTCAGGAGTTTGAGTCTAGCCTGGCCAACATGGTAAAACTCCATCTCTACTAAAAAAACACACACAAAAAAATTAGCTGGGAGTGGTGCTGCACGCCTGTAGTCCCAGCCACTCGGGAGGCTGAGGCAGGAGAATCGCTTGAACTCAGGAGGTGGAGGTTGCAGTAAGCCAAGATCGCGGCACTGTACTCCAGCCTGGGTAACAAAAGTGAAAGTCCCTCTCAAAAAAAAAGAAAAAAGAAAATGTTTAAGCCAATTATTTAGAGCACTTTTTAATATTTTTAATAGTGAAATATTATACACACAACACAAATACATACCCGTATTAGGTATGCCAATCAAGTACATTTTATTAGACTTCGGAATGTTTTTTGTTTGTTTATTTGTTTGTTTTGAGACAAGAGTCTTGCTCTGTGACCCAGGCTGGAACACAATGGTGTGATCTCAGCTCACTCTAACCTCCACCACCTGAATTCAAGCAATTATCCTGCCTCAGCCTCCCGACTAGATAGGGTAACGGGCATGTATGTACCAACACACTCAGCTAATTTTTGTATGTTTAGTAGAAATGGGGTTTTACCATGTTGGCCAGGCTGGTCTCAAACTTCTGACTTCAGGTGGTATGCCTGCCTCTGCCTCACAAAGTGTTGGGATTACAGGCATGAGCTAAACCTGACTCAAATTCTTGGTAACCTGTTTCCTTACCCTAAGTAGTTGTCAGCTGAATAGCCCTAAATTTGCATATTAAAAGAAACGGCTTTTAGGTGAAAAATCAGATAGCAAAATTGACATCTGAAAGCACAGAGAGAAAAAATCTGGTATGCTAGAGGGAAATAAAACAAATTTAATTGCCAAGTTAAGCATAAAATTATAGAAATCTGTCATAGAATTGTGTAAGGAGACAAATTTTATTTAGATAGGTAGTTCTAATTTTAGTCTCCATCTTTTAATTGGACCTCTAAGCTCTGGGCAGAATCCACACTGAATCCTGGGTCTCCAAAAAAGAGAATTATCATGAGACTAGACCATGGTTTTACAGTGCACTTTTTTTTTTAACAAAGACATTTCTCTAAGTGTCTAAACTACACTGTTTCTTACCAGCGTGAGGTAATACCTCAATGTGATTTTGATTTGCATTTCTCTAATGACCAGAGATGATGAGCTTCTTTTCATATGTTTGTTGGCTGCATAAATGTCTTCTTTTGAAAAGGGTCTATTCATATCCTTTGCCCACTTTCTGATGGGGTTGTTTTCTTCTTGTAAACTTGTTTAAGTTCTCCATATATTCTGGATATTAGCCTTTTGACTAACGGGTAGATTGCAAAAATGTTTTTCCATTGCTGGTTGCTGGTTCATTCTATTGAGTTTCTTTTATTGTGCAAAAGCTCCTTGGTAAATTTAGATCCCACTTGTCTATTTTGGCTTTTGTTGCCATTACATTTGGTGTTTTAGTCATGAAGTCCTTGTCCATGCCTATGTCCTGAATGGTATTGTCTAGGTTTTCTTCTAGGGTTTTTATGGTGTTAGGCCTCATGTCTAAATCTTTAATCCATCTAGTTAATTTTTGTATAAAGTGTCAGGAAGGGATCCAGTTTCAGCTTTCTGCATATGGCTAGCCTGTTTTCCCAACACCATTTATTAAATAGGAAATCCTTTCCCCGTTGCTTGCTTTTGTCACACACCAGTTAGAATGGCGATCGTTAAAAAATCTTGAGACAACAGATGCGGGAGAGGATGTGGAGAAATAGGAACGCTTTTACAGTGTTGGTGGGAGTGTAAATTAATTCAACCATTGTGGAAGACAGTGTGGCGATTCCTCAAGGGTCTAGAAATAGAAATTCCATTTGACCCAGCAATCCCATTACTGGATATTGTCAGGTCTCCCTGTGCAAGCCTGGAGCCTGAAAGTCTGAAGTCCTGCTTGCCTCCCGATCGTCTCCCACGCCCTGCCTGCATTCGCCATTGTCCCCGATCGCCCAGCCCCTCACCCAACCCTGCCATCTTAACTATTCCTATGATAATGTGAATACCTCTCACCCATCCTGCCATTTTAACTGTTCTTATGATAATGTGAATACCTCTCACTCATCCTGCCATCTTAACTGCCCTTCTGCTTCACCCCCACTCACCATTGTAACTGAACTTATGGTAGTATATACTCCTTGCCTCTACCCCCACCATTATAACTGGTCTTACTCTGCAGCTCTCCACTGCCCACCCCAAACTTATAAAGCCAACTTCTATCCCACTGCCCTTTGCTAATGCCCTTTTCGGCCTTAGCCCACCTGCACCCAGGTGAATAAACAGCCACGTTGCTCACACAAAGCCTGTTTGGAGGGGTCTCTTCATTCAAAGGGCACATTTTCAACAGATATATACCCAAAGCATGATAAATCATTCTGTTATAAAGACACATACATTCGTATGTTTATTGCGGCACTATTCACAATAGCAGAGACTTGGAACCAACCCAAATGCCCATCAATGATAGACTGGATAAAGAAAATGTGGCACATATACACCATGGAATACTATGCAGCCATAAAAAAAGATCAGTTCATGTCCTTTGCAGGGACATGGA